TATCAAACTAAAAAGCTTCTGCACAGCAAAAGAAACAATTAACAGAGTTAAAAGACAACCAACAAAGTGGGAGAAAATATTTGCAAAATATACATCTGACAAAGGGCTAATATCCAGAATATACAAAGAACTCAAACAACTTTACAAGAAAAAAACAAGCAACCCAATTAAAAAATGGGCAAAAGAGCTAAATAGGCATTTCTCTAAGGAAGATATACAAATGGCCAACAGACATATGGAAAAATACTCAACATCACTCAGCATTCGGGAAATGCAAATCAAAACCACACTGAGATACCATCTCACCCCAATGAGGATGGCTAAAATCCAAAAGACTCTGAACGATAAATGCTGGCGAGGTTGCGGAGAAAAAGGAACTCTCATACATTGTTGGTGGGACTGCAAAATGGTGCAGCCTCTATGGAAAATGGTATGGAGGTTCCTCAAACAATTGCAGATAGATCTACCATATGACCCAGCTATCCCACTGCTGGGAATATATCCAAAGGAATGGAAATCATCAAGTCGAAGGTATACCTGTTTCCCAATGTTCATTGCAGCACTCTTCACAATAGCCAAGAGCTGGAATCAGCCCAAATGTCCATCATCGGATGAGTGGATACGGAAAATGTGGTATATCTACACAATGGAATACTACTCTGCTATAAAAAAGAATGAGATACTGACATGAATGGACCTAGAGAGAATTATATTAAGTGAAACAAGTCAGGCACAGAAAGAGAAATATCACATGTTCTCACTTATTTGTGGGAGCTAAAAATAAATAAATAAATACACACACACACACACACACACACACACACACACACAAAGCCGGGGAGGGGGGAAGAAGACACACAATTACAATTCCTTGAAGCTGATACGACAAGCGAACAGGAAGGACATTGTTGGGAGGGAGGGAGGAGAGGGAAGAGGGAGGGAAGTTTCGGTAATTGGCCACAATAATCAAACACATTGTATATCGACAAAATAAAATAAAATAAAATATTTAAAAAATAAAATAAAATAAAATTTGCTCTTTTAGTTGCCTGTCTTCCTCCTCCGATCTACAAACTCAGAGAGGAGGGCAGGGCTGAATCAGGGCATCAGATCAGAAGTTTAGGTTTTAGTCTAAAGCAGGAGAAAGTCTGGGAAGGTTTGAAGCAGGCGAGAGATATGGTCTGATTTATGAAACGTAACTGTTCTGGCGGCCATGGGGAGAATAAACTGTAGGATGCAAAGGTGGGGGCGGGGAGAACAGGGAGGAGGTTCAACAGTCATGATGGTTCAACAGAGAGACAGTCAAGAGGTTCAACAGAGAGACAACAGTCATGATGATGGAAACGACCAGAAGCGGACAGGTTAAAAATATATGGTAATATTACATGCAACTCTGTGGGAATGAATCCCTTAATTTTATTTTTTGTTTCTATATATTTTTAATTTATAAAGAAATATTATTTATTTCTTACAGTTTTGGAGTCTGGGAATTCCATGGACCACAGCGTGCATCTGGTGAGGTCCTTCTTCTGCGTGGGAACTGTCTACGGGGTCTCGTGGTGATGCAGGGTATCATATGGTGAGAATCCCAATCCCTTAATTTTAGAAATAAGCAAAATGGCTAGAGAGGGAAAGGACCTTAGCTTGGGCACTGTGTCTTTTTCAGTTTTTCTCCTCCAGGGCAGGAGGCTTGCTGCTATACCCCAGCACCTATTTACTTATCATGCAGTAAACAAGTGTTTGAAAGAATAAGAGAGTGGACATAGGGCCCAACTGTGGCATCCTTAGGGAGGCCTTGCCTGCCTTTCCAGGTAAATCCTCTGGTTCTGTATCAATTTCTGAGATGATTGGATGGATCCTGCCTCCCCCACTGGACAGGAACCCCAGGGGAGATTGTTTCCTTCACTGAGCCTGGCACTGAGCCTGGCACTCAGTCCAACACACCAGAAGCTCTCAATAACCAGCTGTCCAACTTAACATGAATGAATGAATTGATTAATTAATTAATCACCAGGCTATATAAACTAGCTCACTCTTCACTCTCTCCTCCCCTCACCTTGCTTTACTTTTCTTCTTAGCAGTTACCAACTCCTGCCACATCGTACATTTATCTGTCTATGTGTTCATTGTCCACTTCCCCCATTACAATCTAGAATTCCATTCCAGAATTAGATCTTAGAATCTAGAATGGAAGCTCATGAAAGCAAGGGCTATTTAAAATTGCAATCCGCCCTCCTCCCAACTCTCTAATTCTCTCCTCTGCTTAGCTGTTTCCCCCAGCGCTTATCACCGTCTGACATATTCTTTCACTTTTTTGTTTATAATCTGTCTGCAGTCAGTTCCACAAGGGCCGGATGTTTGTATTTGGTTCACAGCTGTATCTCAGACGCCTTATCATAGTGCCCTGCACACAGTAGGCGCTCAACTCACGTTGTTAACAAGAGGAAGGAAGGCGGGATCGCGAGGACGGCTGCGGAGGTAGCCCAGGAGGGAAGGGCCTGACCGCCAAGTACTCATCCTTCGCCCGAGCCCCCGGCCCGTCCCCAGCCTCACCTGCAGGCTGGCCGGGCAGGCAGGAGTTAAGCAGCGTGCGCGCTTCCGACCCGCAGGTGGCGCCATCCCGCCTCGGTGCCCGACTCCGGGCGCTCCGAAGTGCGGGACAGAATCGCAGCGAGCGCGGAGCCGAAGCTCAGACCCGACTTGTTGATCTTGCCCAGGCAGCCGCCGCCGCCGCCGCCGCCGCGGAAGCAAAAGGAGGAGGAGGTGGAGGAGGCGCCGTTGGATCACGGTCCTGTCCCCCGCGCCCCCAGTGCCCGCCGGCGCCCGCCGGCGCCCTCCGCCTAGCAGAGCGCGCCCCGGCCCCGCGTCGCCTGCAGCC